TTGGCAATCACATTCTCTCTTTTCCCCCCATACTAAATGATGTGCATAGGGTTTGACTTTCTTCGTGGTGGGATCTGAGCAGGTGGAACCTGATGCCCAGATCATCAGTGGGTCAGGATTTGGGGCAGTGCCTGCCACCAGCAGGAGCCCCGCTGCTCAGCATCCTCTGCTAATGGGACCCAGCACCACATCTCTGCTAAGGCTCAACCTCTGGTGGTCTGAAAAGAGCCCCTGTTGATCATGGGGCAGTGTCCTACAAAGGGGGGAAATGGATCAGCAGATATGTTAATCCCAGCTTGATCCAAAGTCTTGGGGACAGGTGGCAACCTTCATTTAATGGAACAGTGAGATCATTAGGAATTTGTAATGAACCTCACCGCAGCCATGTAAGTAGGTCACCCTTAGCCAGGAACACTTCAGAATGAGTCCATCCCCATTCGTATGCAGCAGCAGAGATGGCCAGGGGCAGAGTGACAGCTCCAGCTTGGGATTTGCTAGCCAGGCCATTTAAGGAACAAACCAGGGCAGACATAAAATGAGTTACATTAGCCCGGGTCATAAAATGAGCTGGTTCAGTTTTAGGTGTCAAGTCTTACTGGCCACAGGATGAAGCCCTGCTGCCCATGGATGAACTAGAGTCCAGCCTAGGGATGGGTAATCACCCAGGAGGAAAAGGGAAGAGATCCTTCCCAAGTCCCGAAGGGAAGCTTTGTCCACGCCTGGGCATCACACAGGTAACGCTATTTCCACATCCTGAAAGCCTCCCAAAAGGTCTCTCCTCCCTGCACCACTCTCCAGTTGGACATGATACTTTCATCAATTGAACTTGAGTCTTTTGGGTGCTGCTTTGCTGCCTTCAGAGCTGGCTGATAACAGGCAGTGACAGAAACTGGAGGTCTCCCATGCCCAGGACATCCAGAGCTGTCCTTGAGTCCTGCCCAAGGTCCCAAGCCTTGCAAATCAAATATGCTGCATGTCATAAATCATCTATGAACTTCTCCCATCTCCCATTGACCCCTGTGGGTGAAAGCCAGATGCTCATGGTAGGACTACAAAGTGGAAAAGCTTTTTTTCTCACCTCCACCTTCTTTTGCCCCCAAATCTTGACATTGCTACAATCCTGTCTAACTTCAGTAACCACCAAGCAAGCAGGAGAACAGGCAGGGTACAGGGAGGAGAGAGGTTTTCTCTGCTAGTGAAAGCCCCGGGTTGAAGATAGGCAAGGTTAAGATGATATTTGCTGGAGATGCAATGAGCAGTTCTGGGCTTTGGGGTTGTTTCATTTTACCTTTTCCTGTGTTTTTTTTTAAAGGTGTATTTGAAGCATTTTGTAATTATTTATACAGCAGAGACTGTGTTAACACCTCAAGGCTGGCTTGAACTCCCCTGGGAAATGGAGGTGGTGCACGGTCACCACACGGACCTTGTGTGTTGCTACTGAGGATCCTGACACCACAGCATGTTTCCAGGTACAGGTTCAGTCATTGTCCATATTAACCACAGTGTTTGCCACTGCACCCCCATGGCTGTGTGAGGCTGGGTGATGGTGGGTGCTTCAGTGACTAGCCTCTCGCAGCCTTGCCCAGCTGGGCACCCAGGCACCCAGTCCGCTGCTCACCCCAACCCAACAGTGCTCCCACATGGATCTTTAAGCAGGGCCCTGTACAATATGGGACACCCGTATGGGAGACTCAGCAGAACTCCCTCTTTCTGCACACACCAGCACCAGTCCCAAAGAAGGGCAGGGAGAGGAGCTGGCAAGCACCAGCTGTTGGTAATGAAGCAGCGGCTCCCATTTCTTTCATGGGAGTTGATGATCCTCACCCTCCCTCTCATTGCCCCTCCTAATTTTCAGATTCACCATTTCCACCCCAGCTTGCCTGCACCCAAGGTGTTAGTCCCATATATTTAGTAGAAGGCCCCATAGTCCCACAATAGTTTATGTAAAGCCCAACCCATCCTACCGAAGACACTCATCACTCTCCAGGAGCACATAAGGGAAGCAGGGATGCCATGCCTGGCCAGCAGGCTGAAAGAGTAGGTCTCCTTTTGTCCCTCTTTACTGGGAAATGCTCCCTCCCCTTCTGAAGGTGGTTGTCCATGTCCTCCATTCTGGGCACAGACATTCATAGTCTTTGCCAGTGTGTGGAGCTTCAGCAGTCAGGAGTGGAGGGCTCCTTCCTCTCCCATCCTGTTTTGCTGTTTTCACTTACGTTTTCTATGTCCTTTTCTACTCACAGCTCCAGGCTTTCTCTTCACGCATGCTCCAGAGTTGTCTGAGTTGCTTCATGAGGACTTTCTACTCGTGCTCTGCCCGATGGTGTCTGGAGGTAATTTGCTGGAAGAATAGGAGAGAAACCAGGAAATGCTTCAAGTTACATCCTCCATCACCACCTCCCTGCAGAAACACACCTCTAGAGGATGGAGCTTGGTGACAAGGTAAGCAGAGAGGTTGAACCAGTCCAAAGTGGCACCCTCAGTGCAGCCAACCAAGTTCCCCCATCGCAAGCAAGCTGGCTTTGGGGGAAAAGGGGCAGTGGTTGGAGAAGTGTTTTGGGAAGACACATGGGGATGAAAAGCAAAATAAGGAGGAAAATAAGAGAGAGGGATGTAATTCTCCTCTTTAGAACAGCTGGTTTCTTTGTGTTACTCAGGAAAGGGCAGCTTGAATAGGTGCCCAGTGCAGCCTAAATGGGTACCCAGTGCAGCCTAAATGGGTACCCAGTGCAGCCTAAATGGGTGCCCTGTGCAGCCATGGGTCCTGCGTGCCTGAGTTACTGAAGAAAAGCCCCTCTTTTAGGGAAGAATAGGGAAGGTCTGTGTGTGTGTAAGTCCTTGGCTGGGACCAAGGCAAGCCCGTGATTAGCCAGCCCCTTGGCCCCAGTCTTTCCTCTCCACTCTCACAGTTCTGAGGACTCCAATAACATGTAACATTCATCTTGTTGTGTAATGCAAACATTGCACCATGCCAGGCAGCTGATAAGAAATCACCTCTTACTTGTAATGAGGAAACTTGACATACCCTTAAAGAATGGGTAGGGAAAATGGGTAGGACTGTTTCACCTGGCCCAAGGAAAGCCAGTGACATTGCAGTGGTTCTTTGAGCTCCAGCTAGAAATGCAGGTCCTGATGTTTGATGTACACTGGACACCAGCAACCAACTTCAAGGCAACCGTTGTGTTGTTGGGTTCTTTTCTGCTGTTCTCAACAACCTGTGCACCCTGCTGAGATGATGGCATTGATGGCGTATTTAGAGATCCTCTGTTTGACGTTCTGGTGTCTAAATAGAGATCCGTATTGAAAGGAGAGAATGAAAATGTCAGCTCGAGCACTGCAGTGCCATGGTTTCAAGCCTCTCCAAGATTTGCCTAGAGAAACAGGGTCCAGCCTTTGACTAGCTTTTGACCATGAGGCCTGAAACCCTCTCTGGTGCCTCTTGTGCCCATGAAGAGTTCCTAGCTAAAGGCGGTAGGGTGTTGGCAGTGTGCTATTGTTAGCTTTAGAATTGTTTGTTTAAAAATGAAAGCACATTGGAGGATATTTTTACAAGGATGACAAATGCAGCATTGGCTCCTTGTGCCTTTCTGTTGGAGTCTTTGGTAGCATCTGATTTTTGTCCTGTCCTGGTAACGCAGGCTCACAGCGGTAAAGCTTACACCCTCAAGGAGACAAACAGATCACAGTGGCCTTGCAGAAGGTCTGGGTTCGAATCACACCCTGCTAGAAACCTCCTGTGTCAGGAGGAATCTCTTGCCTTCCTCTTGCTTTCTCCACTGGGACAGCCAAATTATTGTTGCTTTATTTTCAGTGAGGGTCCCTGAGGCACACAGAGAAGAGAAGCTGTTGTGCCATAGCTTTGCCAGTCATGGTGGTTGGGAAGTTGAAGCCCCAGTTATCCAAAGCTTGAGTAAGATGGGAAGAGTTGTATAACAGGCCGTGCTGATGTATGTGGTGCTATTTCCAGAACACACATAGAGCAGGGTAACTCTAGTTATTTATCTTATGTGAAATTGGCAGGTTCTTAATATTGTTGCTGAAGTGTGTTTCCTCTTTGCCTGCACGCAGAGACTTTGAGCGATGCTATCTCACCTTCTTCTGAGTCCTGGCAGTCCTGCTGCTAACTCAGCCCTTTATAAAGATAAAAATTGGCAGCAGGCTCCAAGAGCAAGTGTGCTGGTGTGGTGGGGATAGGGGTTCGGGGCTGTGTTTTCTCATTCCTATTTGGCTGCCCAAAACTTACCTTAACCCCCTGCAATCGCTTAGAATCTCCTCTGATTGGAGAGGGTGTTGGGTTATGCCCATGTTCATTGATCTAATTGGTTTCCTATCATTCATCTTGTTCATTTATTCTAATCTTAATCATGAGTAAACCCCCCTCTTGATGGGAAAGCTGCAGGAGGTTTTGGCAGAGCTGGAGTTACCATTCACTGGAGGGATGGATGCAGTGGGCTACCTGGGTTGGTGTCCAAGCCAAACTGGAAATTCCTTGGTTTCTTTGCAAGCAAAGGAGAAAGACAAAACGCTTTTCTTAAAGTAATTCAAAACTTTATGTGCAACCTGGAATAAACATTTTCTTTTGATGTCAGGGTCAGTCCTTGTGAAGGAAGGATCGTTATTTTAATAGCACGTCAGTTGAGGAAGAAAAGGGCCTTTTGAAAAACAAACCAAACCAGAAAGCGTTTCCAGTTCCTCAGGAATGTCTTTCCCTCTATAACAAACAACTGATTGACAGTTTCAGCTGAAATGCATGAATAGATTCCATGTCCAAAGCAGACTTTTCCAGCAGAGTTACCATTTTCTGAAAATAGCTTGCTTTAAGCCTTATTTTTTGCATCTGCTGTACATTGCAGAGGCCAGCTTCTCCAATAGCCTCTACATCTCATCAGCTATTGATCATTCTGGTAGTAGAGCCAGTTATATTTGTGCAGTTATATTTCTGCACAGATAACAATGAGATTTAATATAGGTTTGTAGTCTTTAGGACTGTCAGGACATTTTGTGGTTCTGTTCAACACTTTGGATATCAATGGGAATTCCTTCTCCATGGGCATTCTGGCTGAAAACCTTAAATGCTCACATCTGAGGATGTGTAGTCAAATCTAGCTTCGATGCAACTTTTATTAACCAGATGGTAACATCTTACTTACACTTCCCATATAAAACCATCTGTGCTTCGACTGGGGAGATGCTGTCTCTTGCTACACTTGGGAGTTTGGCTGCAGGGGGTGTAGCATTGCTTTTGTTAGCATCCAGTCTCCCTCTCTCATCAGAGCTGAATATGTAACACTGGTTTTATTTAACCTTGTTTTAATTAGAGGGTTACAAAGCTGCAGTTGGCTTTTTCTGCACCAGTCGGTTGGCACTCTGGATCTTGCTGCCTTTAAACAAAACTGAAATTTCTTGCCTTGTTTTCCCTTGGTATTGAAACTGCAGTCGGCTTCCTCTGTTTTCATCCAATGGCTCCTGCATCTTGCCTTCTCCACCACTAAATCCTCCTCTTCCTCGGTATGAAATTCTAGCTCTGCTTGACATCAGCCTCACTAAGGTCAGGCCTTCTGCCTGGGTGTTTGTTTTCTTTAAGCACTCATAGCTTGTTGCTGTGCCCAACATTTCCTTGAGCCAAGTTCAACACCTCCATCTCCACCATCTCTGTTGCTTTTCTATGAACTCCCTTGAAATCATAGCGTTGGGTGCCCAGAAAGGTCTGTGCTATTTCAGGTGTTGTCTAACCAGTAACCTCATGGAGAAACTATTTTGCTCTCAGCTTTGCCAGTTGGTTGTGTTGTTTATTTTTCTTGTTTCACTGACAGATCGAGTTGCATTTCATGTCATTAATAAAGATGTAAAAGAATATCAAACCTAACAGTGACCTCCGAATGGAATCCACCAGCTCTGCCAGCAGTGCACTCTCTTGGTTGCCTTCTTGCTTTTCTCCCATCTAGCTCTTTGCCTTCATGGACTATTCCAATCCAAGCCAATTTGAGTTAATCTTATGTGATGGGAAGAGACACTACGCTAAAGGCTTCATCACAGTAACAATCAGATACATGTGGAAACCAGATGTTGTCTTCTATGAACATTTGCATAATTTGGAAAGGAATTTGAAAGGAAATTTGTTTCTCTTCTGTGTCAAACCAGACTGAGATTTGCTACAAAGTGAGATTTTTTTTCAATGAGAAAAAACACTCAGTGATAAAAATTGGCTGAATGACATTTTTATGTTAATTTAAATTATTTAAGCTTATGCAAAACTGAAATGGAAAAGACAAAATACTCCAATAAAATCAAAATACTCCAAAAATGCTGATAAAATCCAGCTGTGCTGACACAATGCAAGGTACCTCCACAGAACAGCATTTCCCAGCATAAAACTTTCTGATGAGAGCAGTATTGACTTGTATCAATAGCCTCTGATATGTAACCCCCAACCCAAGGAGAACTCTCGTTTCCTGGAAGAGATGTCTTTGCAGAGGTGCGTGTCTTTTCTCATCTCAAGTATTTAGTTCTTTTTGAATCTGCTACAGACAATGAGATTATCTTCAGGAAGGAGGGGGTACAAACCAGCCTACAGCTGCCCTGGGCTCAGCACGAGCATCCTTGCTCGGGGCTTTCCCATCTAACAGATCTTATTTGTATTTCAGGCTAACTCAGGGTTCTCTGTGGCTTGCCTGAAGAAGACTGTGTTGGGAATATCAGTCAGGGTCAAAGCAGCCCATTTGCTTTGGCAAGCATGGTGTGAGTGTAGTTAGCTGAGTGGCTGACCACTGCCTTCACTCTGTGTATGGACAGTCCTGGCCATTTATCTTGGGTGATGGCCAGCAGTTCCTGCTAGCCTCATGTTACAGGGCTGTGTTTGAACTCATCTCCATCGTCCCAGGCATCCACATGTGTGACACACACACATGCACCATGCCACAGATGCTGTAGATTGGCTGCAGCTGAGATAAATATTATTCCTATATCATGATGAGGATGAAAATGTCCTTTTGGAGGGTTTGGAAGAGGAGGCTCGGTTTGTTGTGGTCTGCCCTTGGGCTCCTTTTGACTTTTTCTTTCCTGAAAACAGGAGAAAACCCAGCCTGCGAACGAAGGGGATTTCAGTTCTCACTCGGACCTTGATCAGGAAAACAGAGCACATTGTTTGTGATGGCAGCCTCCACCAAAACAGCTCAGGGGCCAAGTTAAGGCTAAGGAAGAAATTCAGCCTTCCCAGCAATGAGAGATCTGCGTGCTTTCTTCCCTTGCTTCCACTGGTTTCTGTGCATGCAGCGCTCTGCTTGCTGTGGCCACATCATCTGCAAGGTAAGGAGAAGCTGGTCACCGTCAGCGGTTCAGTGCTGAGCTGTGATTGTCCTTTAGTGAACATTGTACGCTAAATTAAAGGACATTGTCCTCTAGTGGGCAGGCAGGCTTGGGTGCGTTTTGGATGCGAGCTCCAGAGGAGAGAACCCAGTGCAGGACATAACAAGGCTGAGTATGATGTGAGCCTGGAGAGGTGTGAGGAAGCCGGTTGGTTGTGCTGCTGTGCACAGGGCTGGTCCACAGAGGGGCTTCCCAGGGTGGGAGGCATGAAGCAAACAAATAAGGAATTAAGAGATAAATTGGAGCTACCACAGTGGACCTTGGCAGAGCTGGGCTTAGGGCTGGCATTGCAGCCCAGGCATCATCGCAGACTTTGAGCCTTATTTAATGCAGCAAAATGATGGCAGTGCAGCCATGATGCTGAAATTCAGCCAATGTGGGGCACCCCTACTTTAGCAACCAAAAAGCCGGTGATGTACATGGTGCAAACTCTTGTTCCTTCTCCTAGCAAGTGTAAGCCAGGGTGAGTGCGCAACCGTGTTATAGTTGCTTTTACTGGCCAAGTGGGTAGATGCACCCCTACCTCTCTGTCTCTCTCTGCTGCAGTGGTCCCTGCAGGACAGTGTGGTCCCCAGACAGAGAGGGGGGACCCTTCTCTCCCCATTTACTTGCCTTTGCTATCAGGACAGCTGCCTGCCTCACTCTGAAGAGGTTACAGTCATGGTTTACACAGAGCCTGACACTGGGGGTCCTCAGCCTGGAGGGGAGAGCAGGGAAATACAGACTAATTTAATTGATAGAAATCCTTCCATGGATTAAAAGTTCAAGCTCTCAGCTCATGTGTTTAACTCCAGGCACATCTGGTTTCTCTGCTAAAGACTCTTGCCCTTGGAGGAGATCTAAAATCATGTCAAGATCCTACTTAATAGGGGGAAAAAAAGAGAACATGTTGAACCACACCATAGGAAGGGAATGCTGCCGGGCTCCCCATCACTGCTGCAGCATTGCCCGCCACCACCCAGGCTCTGTGTGCCCCCAGCTTTGCCCCACACAGGATGTGCCCATCTTTCACAGCCTGGGGTATCCCAGCCCCATAGTCGTGGACAATGTATCATGGAATCGACAGTGAGGGATGGATCCCCACTACAGTGACAATGTGATGGCAGGTCCCTTTCCACTCCCTTTGTGTGAACGTAATGAATTGTGTGTGACATCCCACACAGGGTTTGTGAATAGGGTTTCCAGCCAGGGTGGGTGGAGAGGTGGGTGTTTTGTGGTTCCCCCAGCCAGATGCGCTCTTCTCCTCTTCCCATTGAGTCCCTGCCTGTGTTAAGTTACTTGTGGTGAGTAATACTACTCCTCAGACACATCTTTCAGGAAAAAGAAAAGGAGTCCTCCTAGGCTGCTCCAGATATGCCTGCCCTTTGAATAAAGCAGGAGCAAGTCAAATCACTGTGCTTTGATTCCTTGCTCCTGACGTCCATACTACTAGTGCTGGGACTTCTAGTGCAAAAACTCTTGCCCCAGTGCAGGTGGTAGCTTCCTTGTTTGCACCTTCTGCTTCCTGAACCTCGAATGTACAGGGAAGGCTTTTCAATGCCATTTCCCAGGAGTGACAACTCTGTGCCATGAGGAGGAAGCATTTCTTTGGCGACATTCCCTTCCAGCAAGATAATGTTTTAGTGATGATCTGGCAGAGCTCATCACACTGCGTGTGCATCCCAGTGTTTGATGGCTTAAAGTGTGGTTTTAAATTAGAAAACATATTTAATAATTTATATTTTAGTATTTTTCTTCATTTTGAAAGCTTTGCACAAGCTCAAAACCAGTTCCAAAACTGAGCTGGAACCCCCCCTTTTGGATAGGTCTGATTCCCAGCTCTGTTACTACAGTTAATTACCTGTACTTTGCTAGCCCTAATCTTGAAATCTCAGGCAATTTGGGATACCACATTCCAGCATGAACCTGCACTGGAAATGGAAGTAGCCAGGCACTTTCTATCAAAATGCTTCCTGCTGGGGAAAAGTCACTGTCATCATTTTCTGCCTATAAATGTGTTGTCTTGCTTTTGTCTTTTTATAACATTTTAGGTCCCATTCCCCTTTCTATCCCAAAGGGGTTGGCGGCACAGCCTCTAATCCTCAAAGTGAACATCTTAAGGGCTGGAAGACTGAAAATCCCTTCCCTGAACTGTGAGGGAATCCTGCCTTGCTGGGGAGTTGTTCACAGGCAAAGCGGTTTTTACTGTGTCCATCAGATGACTTTGGAAATCAGATGCAGGAAACAGGTAAGACACCAGCAGAAATCAGGGTCCCAGGATCCAGCACCCTCCTTCTGTGTTCTGATTCCATTACTGTGGGGTTCATGTCCCTGGAGGTTGTGGCTTGATGGGCAGGGTGCTGGAGGCTGCTGTGACGTCCTGCCTGGGGGAAACCAGCAGAGCCACCCCATGAGGTCCCCTGCAGCTCTGAGATCATCTGTTTTCCTGGCGTCCAAAGCTGACTCGGTGCTAACACGTGCTGCTGCTTGGCCTTCTTTATTACCATTACATGACATCCAAAATAAACAACGCCTGAGGTCCCTTCTACCCCTTACCCTGCACGGGGCTCCAAATAGGAGCCGCGCTTGTGCTGGGGGACCTGTATTCCCTGGGCTCCACAGGCGATGATAAATCACCTGGCATGGAAATGTCTTTCAGCCAAGCCCTAACCTGTTTAGTCTAATGGGCAAAGCGAGCCGAAACGAAAGGCTGGTTGGCAGCTCTGCTTTAAACACTGTGACCGAGGCATCCCCCATCCTCCTCCACACATAAATCACAGTTCAAAGGAGTTGGTGTGGCAGCAGCTGGGATATTCAACTAGAGCTTGAGCTCAGTGTGTGCTTCCAACCTATCCCTCACCCTTCGTTAAGCACAGAAGAGGAGTAAGAACCCATCAAAAGTGGGTCTCAGCCTGGGGTGAGTGTAGGACAGGGCTTGCTTGGCAGCTGTGGGTGCAGGGGGATGGAAGGGGTGCAGCAATAGCAAAAAGCAATGGGACCATGACTCCAGTTTGCTGCTCTTCAAGTTGCAAATCTGTCCCAAAGGGCAGCTTGATAGATTTCATGTACGGCTGTTCCTGCCCTGTGAAGTCTCCTAGAAGTGCCATTTCAGTTTGTATATCTTTCACTGACATGTGTATTTAGCACTCATTAACCACTTACCTTGAGCTAATAATTCAACTTTTGTTCCAAACTCCAAACTTCCTCATTTCCATGAGTTCTTGGAGCCAAAGAGCCCATTTCTGACAGGTTCATTTCTGAGAGTTCGCTGTAGCCTTTTGGTTTATTTGAACAGTATTTTCCATGGGTTTTTTTAAAGGTTAGTCATAGTGAAACCATCTCATGGTTTTAAACCCAGAAACAATTCCTACCCATTTCGAGTAAAAGCAAATTCAGAACATGGGTTGCTTTTTACAAGGGAAAAACTAATTCATTACATCTAGGTGCTTTAGCCAAGCTGACTGCAGTTAACATTGCTGTTCCTGTCTGTGTTCTTTCCTGCTCTAATTTCGGGCTGCTTTCATTGTTTTGTTCTAGATTCAATGGCTGATGATTTGTTTTCCATCTATTTAACCTTCATCAGCAGATAAACTACCAGGAGTGACAGGACCTGGATGCAGAGTCCTTACACACTTAAGCACATGTGTAAACCTGACTTCTGTTCGATCTAAGCCTCTGTCTCACATAAATGCAGGTAGGATTAGGGGTGTTCACCTCAGGCAGGAGGGGTTATGAGTGCGATGCAGTCGTGGTGGGGAATACCCAGATGTCTGTGTTCAGCTCTTCTTCACTGTGGTTTCCTGCCTATGCAGAAACTGGAATCGATGCAACGAGTCAGAGCAAACACAGACTGAGCCATAGGGTTTCTCACTATAAATGGAAACTGACCTCAAAGATGATTGCAGCCAAACCATCCGTTTGCAGGTGAACTCAAACCAGAATGAAGCTCTAAAGCACAGTGAGCAAAATAAGAATTTAAGCTGCTTCACAGTGCCCAGATCCCCTCAGATGGGGAGCCACAGGGCTCCTGGCATGGGGTGTCCCCAAGAGGGGACCTGGCACCTCCCCTTCTTGGGCAGTGCTGCACTGTTGGGGTTAGGGGTTGGGAGCTTTCATTGCTGTCGTTCCCGCTGCTCAGCTGTGTAACGAGGGATGTTGCACATGCACAAGAGATCCCCACAGGCTGCAGGAAAACAATAAGCAGCCCAAGCTGAGTAGGAAGTGGATGGAAATCCAACCCAGCAAAGTGAGAAGTGAAGCATTCAGCCTTGGCTTGACCCTGCACCAGTGACGCCGATAGCTGGGCTATCGCCCATTGCAGCAGGCTTAGGCCAGGCCTGGGAGAAACCCAGTCCTAGAGCAATGCAGGGCTTGTTCAAGCCCTTTTTCCTCACACAGCCCCTGCTCCCCCCATATCCCCATTTTTTTTTCCATTAAACCCATTTTTTTTCCAGGTGAATTCCACACATATATCACATGACTCCTATTTTGAATAGCTGTGTCAGTGCCTCCAAACAGTAACTTCCTGTTCAGTCCAAGGGGCTTTTCCTCCTTTCCCTGGAGCTCAATAGCAGACAAGAACATCCCAAAGGCACCTGATGAAGATCATTTCCAAGTCCTCAGATGCAATAAAAACAAAACCAAACACAGTGCTGGAATAAATGGAGGAGGAGGGAAGGAGGAACGATTTCTCCCTCTGTTCAGGTCATTGCTTTGGGCAGAACCAGCTCAGGAATAAGAAAGAACTGAATTGGATTATGAAAATTTCCATTCCCTACTATGACTGGATATCACTTAGTTTCGTGTGGCTCTGCAGGGACAGGATAGCTCCCTCCTCCTGGCTTTTTCTTCTGATCCTCAGTTATGTTTCACAGTGATACTGGATTGTAGGATCAAAATGTACATTGCATTGGATACCTAAAAACCTGAGTTTAGTCAAATGAAGCCTAAGACTAGTTCCACATTTTGCATGTTCAGAACTGACCTCTACCTGAGGTCAGCTGCCTCCTCATAGGAGAAACCTCAGCATCTTTAAACTCACTTTACATTGACATGGGGCAGGAAAATATTATTTGTAAGTTTTGGTCCTGAGACAGATCCTATGAAATAGAACAATGTTCCTTGTAAGTTTGTCCTTGTAATTGTCCTTGTAAGTCTGGAGGTGTTTCTGAGAGCTGGGAACTTGTGATCAACCCACCTTTTTTTGGGGGGGGGAATAAAAGTTACTGGTTTTGGTTCAGAATCGGGTCCAAAGCATCCCTTGCCTGGAGCATGGACCGCTGGATGGGTGCATCTTGGCTGAGCCACGGTGAGCAGAGGTCCATGGAATGGTGCCCAGCAGTGCAGCGCAGGCAGCAAGGCACGAGCTCTGCATAACCACAGCAGGTGAGTGTAACGTCTTTTGTACTCGAGGTTAAGGCTGCATCTGCTCATTGGAAACAGATTTAAGGAGCAGATGAAGGATGCAGAGGGATAGCAGGAATATCAGATCTGTTTGCTCAGGGAAGGGTCATTTTCCGTAACACCTCCTTCTTATTGTCCTCCCCTCAGCGTGGAGTCCTTCTACAACCTTATTTTTTCGGGTTGCCAGAAAAACCCAGAGGGAGTCACTCTTTTATGAGCCATCCCTTCCTCCCTTTTATGCTGTTAGGAATTTCCCCATGTGTGAGTGTCTCACAAATTCCTTTTCATTATGTTGCATCCAAGAGAAAGTAATCCATCCCAGTAAGTGAAAGTAATACATCCCAGTAAGTGAAAGCAATCCATCCCAGTTTGGCTTCTCTAACACTAGCAGATGGAGTTCATGGTCTCCTCTTTTTTAGGGTCTCCAATACATCAGCCCCATCACCTGCAGAAGAAGAATGATCTCTGGTGAGAACCAGTTATCACCGCAGCCCTTTCTGGCTGGAAGGAAATGTTTACCTTGAATCCCACTTAGGCGTGGGGTTTCAGTTAGGAAACAGTGGTTACATCTGCTGAGCACACACATGACGATGTGGGTGATGTGTTACTGCACTGTCCTCATGGCTGGGGCAGCAGAGATGTGGGACTATGGGTGAGATAAGGGGTCAGCACAGCAATGACTTGGAACTATAATCCTGGCATCTCAGCCCTGTGTTGCTGCTGCATCTGCGGTTGCAGTAAACACAGAGCTGAGGCAAACAAGAAGTGGTTGAATGCTTTCCAAGGGAGTGATTTTCTTTTCTCCTGTGGCAAACTCCCCTCATTCAAAATGAAAACTTTCCAGGAGACAAAAATCAGCTGACAAAGATTTTAGCTGAGTTTTTCGTTTGTTTGTTTCCAAATGTCTTTTTAATGAGTCAAGAGCCATGTCAGATTGTGTAAAATTCAGAATGAAAGCAAGATGTGTCCATGTTGCCATTCAAACAGAGCTGGAAGGAAGATTATGCAGCCTGTTCCCCTGCTCCTGCATAGGACTGAATATTCTCAGGGGGCAGATAAAATGCCAAGGAATGTTGATGTTCCTTCTGCTTTGCTTTCATTCCCTTCCCCAGGCTGCACTCTCCCTTTCCGCATCAGTTAAGTGCACGTTAAATGCCCTCTGCTACCCCTGGGTTGTAGCTGGCCTGAATGAGAAGTGCTCCATTACAAACCTGTGTTAGAGTATCCTATCCCAGAGCACAGCCCCTGCATGTGATGCTGTCCAGTGGTGTCCCCAGAGTCCCTGTCCCAGGCTTCTGCCCTGCTCCCACACAGGATCTGCCACGTTTCACAGCCCTCTTTGTCACCAGGCCTTTACCAGTCAACCTAGGAAGTCATTTATAGCGGTCCTACAGAAACTTCTTTATATCTATTAGCCATTTAAACCAAACCCACACTGCTGCTACTATTGGATCTAGCCATTGAACGAAATCCAAACATCTGGGGAGAATGTATCAATTTCACCTATGGCTTCAACAGGAAATTGTGGAAACAGTCCCATCCCATGTAGTCAAAATGTTTCCTTCTGACCACTGCATCAGCTGTTTTTCTACCACAACTCTGACATCAGAGTAGCTGATGTTCAGATTTCTATCTGGTGGTTTTCAGTGTAAAACTCAAACCAAACCAAACATTTCAGCTTCATTGGTGATTTGCTTTATTTGTATTAGGAAAAGGGAAAGTCACATACTCAGATGCTTGCTTCCCTCAAGACAAATGCTTTTGAGAGTGCTTTTTCCGAACTTCAGCGCTCAGAAGTGTCAAGGAAATCTGAGTCTCTTTCCTGCTTTGAACTGTTAGGAACAAATGGGCTTCTCAACCCCTTGGGCTGTTTCGAAATCTGAGCCAGAGGCCCCTATTAATAACCCGTTGAGTTTGTGCGTGACACTTTCTTATCCCCATCTCACAGATGGGAACACAGCGTGGCAGTGGTTCTCCAAGGTCACCCAGCAGCAGAGCCGCAGCCAGAGCCCTGGCCTTCTCCTGCTGCCCATTGACCTACTTGAACCAGATAAAATGCATCATCCTCTTACACAACAGCTTTTCCCTGCATGCACACCATCAAGCTGGGTATTTTCTCACGGAAATTTCCATGGGGAACCCTCAGTTTCCTCGTCAGAAATGTTTGTCTGGGGAAATTCTGCTGCTTCTGTAGGGAAGTTCGAAAAGGCAGAGAAGTGGGGGTTACCTCCCAGCTGCCCTCCCACACGTTTCCCAGTTTGAGAGGAAGGCTGCACAACCATGCAGCTGCAGTGATTCGATAATAGATGGTTTCTGCAAATACACGAGCCCAAGCTACAAGATGCATTTGCACACTGGCAGCATGGGTAATGCTAACTGTGCTAGTGACATCTTCAGTTATCATGTGCTGTTGCAAATGCCATGGCGTGTTCTGCAGAGATTCATGGTTTGAGAGTTACAAAAAGCCCGAGGAAGTAATCCCTTCAAACAGCCTTGCCTGAGCAGTCTGGTGTACTCGGTAGCCTTCACAGACCCAGTCCCAGAGCCTGAGGGGGATGCTGAAGACAACATCAGCATCGTGCTTTTCCGGTCTATCACCAGCAGGAGATTCAGGTCTGATTTCTCTCAGCTGGAAGATGCAGGTTTGCAACGTGTTGGTGAGCACCCCTGAACGTTGGGAAGATGGGAGGGGACAACTCTGGAGGGTTTTTGTTACTGCTTTGGGTGTGTGGCATTGGAACAGCAGCCAGGGTGGCAAACAGGACCAGCCTGTAACTGTTCAATGCCTGCTGTATCTGTGTGTTTGAGCATGCTGTAGGTGGTTGCACCAGCTCACAGCCTTTCTGCAGAACTAAGTGTGGCCAGTGCCATAAGAGAGCTATATGGCAGGACAGACATTGAGGGAAATGATGGGAGCTGTATAGAGAGCCAAAGGGGAATTCTGGCTTTTCAGAGCACCAGGACAGCCTCATGGCTCTTGGATTGCTATTTATTAAAGGAAGAAATATTGTCCCTCCTCTGTGTGCACTTCGCAGTGACAACGGATGCAACCAGTCCAGTGTGTCAGTGACACTGGTATGACTGTGGCCCCTGAGCTCTCTGACCCATAACCAGGGACATCCTTGCTTCATCTCTCCAGCTGACCAGCCTCTTGGTGACCATGAAAGGACCTTATTTCGTGGAGCAGACACGAGTGTCCGAAGCACCAAGAAGACAGTTGTGAGTGTGCTTGAGCATAAGCCTGCCACCACAAACCCCTGGAGACCAGCGATACCTGTCCTGTAGAACCCTTGGCATGAGCAGGGCTCTTAGGTCTGGCTCAGCAAACCCTGTCACATCAGCAAGAGAAGAGGTGGATGAGCCTCATTCATGTGCTATGCATGAAGGCAGGGCTGGGCTGGGCTGGATTTTCTCCCTTTTGCTTTACCAAGGTGATGCTGGGCAGGCTGCTCCCCTGGGATGGTGCTGGACCAGATGAGGGTGCGTGTCCACTGGTGGAGGTATTTACGGACCTTACAACATATGCTTAGGGTGGTGGGACTCCTGGGTGTGCTTTGTGGCTGTTTGGTGTATCTACTGCTTACTGCTAGGTATCTACTGCTTACTTTGGTGTATACTACTGCTTACTGCTAGGTAGTACTGAGCAGGTAACCTGTGGTGTGGGTAGTTGTTAATGAGGTTTCTTTTGACATGGGTGGAAAAAGCTGTTGTGGTCTCTGATCACTTCTTCAGCAAACACTGTTAATGGAGCAGTCCAGAGAGCAAACAGGACTTCTGTCTCTTGGATTAGGGATATAGAAGGATATTAGGGATATAGAAGGATATTAGGGATATAGAATAGAAGGGAGAGCATATTTTGTGTGGTTCAGAGAATTAAATCTGATAGGTCAGGAGCTGACCTGAGCTTGGTTTCACAGACCAAGATAGGGAAACAAGCAACAGTTAGAGTAGGCATGTTACTTTAGATTAGTGCCGGGCACCCAGGGGTGCTCCCTGGGCTGTACATTAGTGTAACATACTTTCCTCACCAAAAGTAGACCTCTCTGTTGTGCTGGTAGCTAAACCAGACCAGTCATGTGAGTGAAGTCCCAGAGAGCAATGCTATTCCAGGACAGGAATAGAGTTTTATTTTAAACTCCTTCAAACTGAGATTATCTGCATGAAAATAGGTATTTGTATACCAGGATTAAAGTGTCCATGTGGGAAGTTACACCAGTGCATCCAGATTACCTGGAGCTTTCATCCCAAGGAAACTGAGCTGAGGTTCAGTATTACTTGGTTTGGGATGGGAGTGGGGGTGAGCTGGGGAGTGGATGTTGTTTGTTCCCAAGGGAGGATGGATTTTCCAATATGGTTTCCTGCAGAAAATTCCAAGTTCCCAGAAGTTGCATTTGCATTTGCTTGCCTGAAAGACCCATTGCAGTGGAGAACTCCTGGCGAGCTCTGAAGCTCAGTTATTTTGGGGTGAGCCTATGTAGAGATGTCAGCAATGCAGCCAACTATTAGCTAAGTTACTGCAGAATTTGATCTCTTACATATTTCTCTTTAATGGAAACAGAGGCATCGACAGACTCAGTGGTTATTTATGTTCCAGATAACTCCCTGCCCTTGGTTTGGAGAAACCTTCATTGTTCTCTTCTGCTCAGGGAATGATTTCTTTAATGCAACAGTCTCTCCTGGTAAGTACCATAAAATAGCATGTTGGGATGATGGAAGCCATATACATGTCTTACAAGCCCAGTGCTTGCTGTGCTGTGGGACAGAGCCCTCAATCTTGGCTGTCTGAGCACAGTGCAGGGCAGCACACAGGCAGCATCCCACCCACCCATGTGGTGCAGGCTGTGCTCCTGCCCCTGCACTGCCTCCCCCCAATTCCCCAGCCATGACCTTACTGTAGCTATTTCCATGCCTGTAAATCACACTGCCTGCGGGAGACGATGCTGTTCATTATGTCACACGCAGACAGATTTACAGCGTGCAGCAACAGTCACAGCTATTCCTACTTGAAATGACGTGAGATCTGCACTCAGTGGGCTCCCTGTAAATCACAGCCAGGTCCGTGCATGGGCTGAGGGGCTCTTCCCACCCACTGGCAAAGGCTGTGGTTGTTGGTGCTGACATGCGAAAAGAAGTTTGTTTTCAAACAAAGTTAGTTTTCAGGCTCAGCCCCCCAAAACCAACCTACCATCACTCCAAATGGGCAAAGTGGGAACTTGTCTGTAGATGCCCATCTCCTAGGGCACCACCAGAGCTGGGCTGCATTATCCCTGTGCCCAGCTGATGTCTTTTCCCTCCCTTTCCTCCCTGTTGACCTTTGCAGTTCAGCTAGAAAAAGAAGCCAGAACCAAGTTTCCACCTGAGGGGATGTCAGCTGAATGCCAGGGCATCCTAGTGGAGTATGCCTAATACCTGGGCCTAGCCTTGCCCCAAGAAAGCAGTCCAGGTTCAGCTTCTTATGTCCCAGAGTGGACACTCAGAGCTGAAACGTGGGACCATCTTCAGCCCTTCCTGTAAGCCTCTTTTGCAATCAGTGCTCTCTGTAGGCAGGAAGTCTGGGTTGGATGCCAGGGCAGAGCTGCAAGAGGAAAACCAACAGTTCCTGAATGATCCGTTTAAACAACAAATGAGTGGAATGCCCACTTGGCATGCAGTCATTTTCCATTTCCTGGCTCCCCAGTGATTTCCAGTGCTGTTGCTGTGTAAACCCACAGAGCAAACATCTTGTGTTACCACCCACTTGCTCACTGAGTGGCTTCCCAGAGTCTGGGCATCCATGAGATGCCTCTGTCTCGCTTTCAGGTCCAGCTCTGCTGGCTCAGCCACCTCCATGTGTTTTAGTGCAGAGTGAGCATCCCCCACAGGAATTCATGGCAGTTCATCTCTTGGCTGTGTTTAGGGTAATCCTATGTTTTTCTCATAACAAGAAAGAGCATCTGTGACACCCGTAGGCAGCGCTCCAGCAGTTAAAGGGTATGCCAGAAAGGGCCTCTCATTTGTCTCTTCTCCTTTGTCTCCCTGTGCAGTGGTGGCAGTGATTCATTAGATGGACCTTCTTCCACTGCTGTCTTGCTAAAGCTAGGATTCTAACTGACTTGATTGACTTCCAGCACAAGAATTGCCCTGATTTTCCCAGGTGACCAAGAAAAGCTGGGTCTGCCTCAGGGGGCTACCTACCTTACTGCTGGGTGGGCTCTTTTTTTGGCAAATGCTATGTTTTTTTGGGCACGAGGCAGTGGGGATGGGTGAAGCATCATTGCTTCCAGGTTAGAGGAAGCCAAAGGACTGGAACCCAAACCCCTGGGCCTGCTTTGTAGGTGGAATCCTTTGGCTTTGGAGGGCTCTTGCAGTTTCCCCAAGGCAGGGCAAGTCCAGAGAGTGGTCACAGCCCTTGTCAGCACAGTAAGACTTGCCCTGACAGCCCCAGGCAGGCAGCAAATGCCTGGAGCCGTGCTTGGTGCTGCTGCTGCTCCAAACCCCTCTGAGTGCTGAGGGCATCCCTTCTTCTCTGTGGATGCAGATGATGCTCCAAGTGCAGGTGGCAGGGAGACCTGGCATGTCCCAGTTCCTCGTGCACATCCCACCTTAACTGCTTTGCCATCCCCAGCATCGAAGCTGCTTGACATCAGCTTGGCCACGGTGGGCTCGTGTGACTGCCTCCCTTGTGCTCCTTCACAAGTCCAATGAGACGGCCCCAGTTCATGTTACCTGGGTATAATGCCTCGGGGCTTTTCTGTTTGGACACTGCATGTGGAAGGCAGCTGTCAATTAGCAGATGGAAAACCAGCCTGGAGTGCTAATGAGAGCAAACCTAATAGAGACCTTCCCAAATTGTTTCCATCCAGTTCTCAGGGCCTTTAATTGCTGTCATATTATCAGGATGCCAGAAGGAAAACACAGGGGAAAAAGCCCCTTTCGGAGGTGGATTTGTCTCTGCCAGGACTGACTCAGAGGCAGCTTCTCCCCTAAATTTCATTTACAGGAGTCTCTTCACTTGGTTCCAAAGTTACATTTGGGGCTGGGCCAGCTCCTGCAATGCCTTTTTCCCCACAGTGAGGGTGGGAGCAGGATGTTCTACCAGCCACCATGGCCAGATGGAAGGCTGGGAACAGATGCTGTCTCCTACGCACCCCCAGTGCTTGATGTTGGCTTTTTCTTAAGGAATGTAGTGAAAAAGGGAATATGATGTACTGCAACAGCAATGGTAAAATGCTTAATATTCCTCTATTCTTACCAAAGAAAAGGCTTCCTGATTGCTGTGTTGGTAAGGGCAGTGATGGAGCCCCATTGCATTAGGCACTAAAAAGAAAGTGAGAGGAAAAGGCAATGAATGAAGCATGGAGAGGACAAGAACAAGAAAACAAAGTGGTTTCTGAAGCTATTATATATAGACAGAAAGACTTACCTTTAATCCCTGCATGTATTTACAGGTACCCATTGTTGGCAGTGGATATATTTACCTGAGGGGCTTTTCTCAGGCTCACTCTTTGAAATGAGGGGTGAATGGCTGCTCTCTTGTGGTTATAGTGTTAGTTTTCTGCAGTGGGATTGGTGTTCCTTGCATGACGCAGGCCCCTAACATACATTATGTTGCCCGGCATTCATTTTCTTGCTCTCAAAAGCTTGTGGCTCTGTATATATTATGTGCCTGCTTGTCTGCCTGCATCACCATCCTGGTCCAAAGGTATCCATCATCTGAGGATTTGCTCCTGCAGTGTCTGGCCTCATACAGTTGTTTGTTTCTGGATTTGAACTGTGGTGGATGTGCTTTGTCCAGCCCTCAGCTAATACAAAAGCCACAGGAGAGCACATGCTCTTGAAGATACTTGAGAAATAAGGATTAAAAACACGTGTTCCATGGAGATAAAGGGTTGTATTTACTCTTGTTGTTACGCTGGGTTAGGCTGTAGGAGGTGCTTGAGCTGGGAAACAAGCTGATTAGAACATAAAATAATACAGGGGTTATCAGAGGAAGCTTCCTGCTGAACTCAGGGGCTGATACCTGCTCTTTGCTTTGAATCTCTCACAGTTAATAAGGTACCCAAGTGTTTGTACAAGCGTAGCCGAGCAGAGAACCAAGAGTTGCTCAGGGTGAAGGCAGCAGCAGCCCCATGCACAGGGTTTATAAGTACACTGCACTGATAAGCTTTTGAATCAAAGCTGTAGATTTGGGCCCGAGGGGAGCTAGCCCAGCGTGTCCCAACCCAGCACATAAAAAATGACCCAGGAGGCTTGTGACGGCAGCCACAGGACCATGGGTTGCGGTGGCCTCAGCGTCGGGAGCTTCCCGCTGCCTGCAGCAGATAAGGCAGCCCCATGAACACAGGTTCCTCTCCTTGGCAGGTCCATCAGTGCAGTCAGTGCCTCTGCGGGGTCCCAGCTGAGAGTCCCAGGGGATGCTGCAGCTGGTGAAGGGGTTTCCCAGGGTGGATCATGCTGTGCTCAGCACCGCTGTGAGTCACGCAGCGGGAGGGGATGCTGTTTCCTGATGGACAAATCCTGGCCAGGACTGAGTGACATTGATTAAAGCCTGATGCATGATTTGAACCCATGGACAGTGCAGGCTGGTGCCAGGGACTGAAATCCCCAGCGCAGCGCTTGTGGGGCTGCCCCTTGCTGGGAACGTGGGGCCAAGCCATCCAGGCAGCAAGGCATGGTCTCTGCCGTTAACTGCTGGGGGTGCTGGGATCAATGATGAGTCCGAGATGAAGCAGCTCCTGGGGCAATGGGGTGTCTTTCTGAGGCTTACTAAGCAAAAAAAGAGCATTTCTTTCTGGCTTTGCTGTGATTCTTGGCCCATTGCGTGTTTTACCAGCATGGCTTAATAGGGGCTAATGCTCCAAGTGTGTCTTTAATAACCCTGGGACAGTAGCAGCTTAGCAAAATAAACCTTTCCCAGCTGCACTGCTCTGGAAACTCGCCTGCTCAGCTGCTTCTCATGCTGGCCCCTTTCTGGACCCACCTCATGAATCTGGGACAGACTGGGACAGACCAGGGATGACCCGGATCCAAGGAATATGCTGTTCAGGGAACACCAGGTTCTGTCTTTCGGGGCCTGGGGGACCACAGGGAATGTGAAGGGTCAGTGGGTTTTTCCCAGCACGCCTGTCAGGGAGCACAGAGGAGAGGCAGGATGGGGAGCCCTGGACACCTGGCCTGAGGATGGGGCTTTGCCTGGCTGCAGTCAGAGGTGCTTGTGATGGGAGATGGAGCTCAACAGCAACGGAAGAACAGGGGAGATAACCAGAGAAGGGCCTCATCCGTGAGCCTGATGCTCCCCAGCACCTCTATGAGTACCTTAATTTCTGCCCTTTCTGGAGGCTCTCCCAGTGTTTGAACACTGATGTCTCTCAGTGCAGGCATGAAACATCCTGACTACAGCTCATACCTTCACGTACAGATGCAGTGTGGTACCTGGTTGCTTCACCTCTAAGTCCTTGTGAGATTGAGCCCTTTCCGCCCCCCGAGGCCTATAGGGTAATGAATGCTTAGCCACCACATGTGAGGCAGGGAGGACCTGGAGTGTTGACCCCTTTCCTGCATCCATCCCTCTCCGTCCTTCCCTTCTGCTTCCCTGGACCACGTTTGCCCAGAGCATCTGCAAGGTCATGAACCCCCAACACTACCCCAAGGCCACATGTGATGGGGAGGGCAGGGACGGAATGGCCCGAGCACAGAGCCAGACATCTGGTTCGTTAAATGCTACATGTGCTCCCTGGTTTCAAAAGGGAGCAAGGCAAAACAGCCACTTGTGAGATAACAGCTTGCACAGTCCTCCAGAGTCAGCTCCTTCGCTGCAGCCTGTCCCATGGCTGGGGCTCTGCACAGCCAGGGAGAACCAGGCAGACAATAAGGGGCTCCATTTGCCTTTCCAAGGCAGGCACAGCCCTGGGTAAGAGGGAAAACAGCAGGAGAGGGCTCCAGGCTTTCTTTATGTTCAATAAGTGTCAAGGGGAAGCAGGGAACAGAAACCCAGGGATGGGGTTGGTTCAGGTAGGCCAGTGCTTGGGGACAGATTCAGAAACTACAGGAAAATGCTGGGAGTGGAGGAAGGTTTCAGGTTTATGCTGACATGTGTTTTTTTTGCAGCTGTATTTCCAGTTTTGTGCTGTGCTCTGTGAGGCTTCACACCTACATGTGTCAGTGTTTGTGGAGGACTCAGGTGGTACCTAGAGGAAGAGGTGAAAATGTTGTCCCTTGGTGCCAGTAAGGAGCAGGACAGGTCTTGAGGAAGCGGTACTAGGGGATTCCCAGGACACTGCATCCCTAAGAGCACTCCTCACCAGCACTTGAGCACTACCCAGAGGTGCCCACATTTGCACTGAGAGCCAAGACCAGTGGAGGATGCACAGCAAATGGTTATGATACATCCGTCCGTCCCTCCCCAGAAGGACCTGGTGTGTCAGCCCTGGTAAGGACTCACCATGGGACTCATTTTCTCCCTCTTCCCTGCTAAAGAAGATGCTGGATTCAGGTGTGAGGTGTTGGACACAGAGACTAAATCCCCTGTGTTCTCAAACTGAGATGAAACAAACGTTTTCCTCAGTTGAGCTCTTGGCAGCGGGTCAGGGGCGTTGGCTGGTGTCAGCCCTCACTATGACCCTTTGCACGCAGTCCCCCCCACCTGCAGAGCTGGAGAACAAAGCACTGATTTCCATCACTTGGCCACCTCGCCTTTGGTTGATGCAAGCGAGCTCAGCCCCTGCCTTCACAGCAGGCACTGACATCCGGGTTGAAGCATCTTGTGGTCGGTGCAAGCTGAGGCATTCCTGCCATGCCTGGGGCCTGATGCAGGCTGGAGGTGACTGGGGCCCACAGCTCCAGGGAGAAGCAGCACCAGCAACTGTTGATACCTAAACACGGACCCATCTTCTTGCCTTCCTTTGAGAGGTTTTCTGACTCATGTCTGAGTTAGCCTCAGGATTGGACTGAACCTAACCCAGGGCTCACCTGCATGCTGAGCTCCCAAGGACTTAACAAACCCTCAATCTTGCTGGCAAACATGAAGGAAGGGGCAACTGTGCCATCCCTATGGAGGAGTCAACTGAGGCGCTGCGAAAACAAGCACATGTGTGGGCTTGTTTGAGGCAAAAGAGGGTTTGGTGCATGCGGAGCCTGGGCTGGGTGAGCTGGCCCTCAGGTTTCTATCAGGGCTGTCCCTGGTCCCATTGGAGCAGCCCTGGGCTCCCATGAAAGCCACCTCCTGCACAAGTGCTGAAGGAGGCATTTGTCAAGCTTTTATTCTTCCCTCTGGGACATGTGGGGGATGGTGATCTCTGATCTCCCATCCCCTCTGCTTTTTGAGATCAGTCCCCAAGAGGTCTGCTCAGTGTCAGCCTTAGTGGTTTCAGAGGTGATGGAGAAGATGGCAAAAAGACCTTAAACCCACCCCAAAATTACGATGTGCTGGAGATGGAGGTGCCGTGATCCCAGGCATGCTCCATCCGCCCAGGAACGGCCCAAGGAGTTCTTCCCTCCAGGCTGGGGCCTCTGCAGGTGTTAAAGACATCAAGTGACCACCCTCCTGTGGGTGTTTTTCCATCTGCCCCTGCTCAACAGCTCGTATTTTCCAAGCTGCAGGACAGGCGTGAAGTGTAACAGGGCAGTGCTGGGGTGCCTGGAGATCCCAGTGACCCGGGACTGCACAGCACTGGGATATTCCAAGGCATGGACTTGGAAGTGACAGTTCCAATGACGTTAAGTGGGAAGAAGAAATGCAGTGAGCCCTCTGTGCTTATGTCAGTGGAGCAGCAGGAGAAAAAGTGATTTCTTCCAAGAACCCCCCCTTAAACCTTCCGTCCAAACCACTTTCTGTGGCTTTTTGCTCAACACAGACCAGCATTCTCCAGGGAAAATGTCTTTCTTCCCAAGAAACTTCAATTTCACAGCCTCCTGGGCACCCTCACCTCAATCTTACCCATGCAGCGAGTGCCTTTACGTCACCTCTGAGCCCAGATGCAGGCTTGCATGAGCACACCTCTGTTCATAAAGCACACGGGCATGGGTGTAAATCCCTGCGCTTCATTAAGGGTCAGGCATGTGCTTACAACCTGGTGATGCTGGATACTGCCCGCCTCCTGCCGTGCCTTTTCAATGCAGGAGGTGGCTCCCTACATCAACGGGTCCTTGTGGAGATGTGCTGGGGTTATGTCACCTCCCTCACCCCCTCTGGGGGGGGAAACTGGCACAGCCCCATGGACTTGGAGGGAGCCCTTGGCACTGGGAACACTTCTGTAATCAGCTCTATAAATATGAGAGGGGAAAATGATAAATGACACCAGCATTCCCAGCCAGCCGGGGTAGGATTACTCACAGGCACTGCGCGCAAGTGATCTTGGAAGTAAATTCCAGCTAAATTCCTTAAAAAATACTTGAAGGAGGGGTGGGAGCTGGAATGAACTGAGCTCAAGATCCACACGCCCAGGCTTTTAACTCCTATCCAACAGAGAAAGGAGAGATTGGTCCCACCTGTCCCCTGGGACAGAGCAGGGCACATTGTCAGGAATCAGTGTCTATCACCTATGAGGGCTTCCAAAAGGAATGGGTGCACACCAGCCCTCCGAGGGCGTTTTCCAACCACTTGGAGAGAAGCTGGAGCCGATGCACAGGGTTTGGAAACCCAGCTCTAGAAATGTGCTTCATCAGGACAAAGCAGAACTTAATTAGGGCCGGCTGGAAGGGTTGTTCTCTGCAAAGCTCCTCTTCTGCAAAGCAGACCTTTCATCGAACAGGGAGATTATTGGGAATGTTGGGAACTAGGTGGATGCTGCCATCTGAAATGTGCTCTTAAAGAAAGCAAGTTCCTTTGGGGGGCTTTGTAAAGATTCAATTATTTCTGCATTCGGCTGTCAATGGAACATGTTTTTAC